GCTCGCCGCTCGCCGCTTCCCTCCCAAGCGGCGGCGGCATTCGCAGAGCATTCCCTGCGCATGCGCAGGGGACGCTCTGTGAGTTTCGGGGGGATTTAAACATCCCCCCGATTTTTTCCCAACATTTAGGATTTTTTGCACACGTGGGGACCGCCCCATGTGTGCACAAACCTCTCCCTGCCCCCCAAGTGCCCCCGAAGTGCGGATTTAGATATCCGCACAGAGGGGGCCACTTCACTATTAGATATATAGATATGGAGCAGAGGTCCATCAGTGGCTATTAGCCACAAGGTATAGATAGGGACTCTGGGGCAAGTGATGCTCTGTCATCTTGGTGCTTGGGGGGGTCAACAGTGGGAGGGCTTCTAATGTCCTGGCCCCACTGGTGGACCTCTTGATGGCACCTGGTATTTCTGGCCACTGTGTGATACAGAGCGTTGGACTGGATGGGCCTTTGGCCTGATCCAACATTGGCATCTCTTATGTTCTTATGTTCTTATAATTGTGCGTAAGATCACAGCCGTAGACATTCATCTTTTGTCCTTGTTTTCCCTCAGCTTTCTCTCTCTTTCATTAGTCCCCCTTTCTTCAACCCTGTTTTCCCTGCCCATCTCTTTTTCAGGCCTCCTTATTCTCCCTTCTTTCAGTTTCTCGTTGACCAATTTTCCATCCACTCTGCCCTCTTCAATTCCCTGCCTCTTCACTTCTCTACTTCTTAGGACCTCTTTCTGATCCAGCCTTATACTCCTCGGCCTGTTTATCTTGCCTTCAAGGCGCCTCCTGCCTCTGGATTTTGTGTGAGAGGTTTTTTTCCCCCCCAGCCACCTGATCTTCACTTCAAGTTGCATGAGCTAATTGCAAACGTTATGTTGCTTATATCGTCCCCTGGCCAATAGAATGTTTGTGAATATTCCATGGCATCTCACCCAACTCAGCCCCTCGGAGTTTCATCACCGTGTCCACTGCCACCACTACAAATTGCAAAATCCCTTTTGTTTACAGTTGAGAAGTTCCCTGCTTAAGAAGAAACCTAAGTCTTGACGCAGGCTGCCTGGCACAAAACAGTTCAATGCTTTCTTTCAGAATGGATCAATCCAGTAAAAGTCACGCCTGCTCCACCTCCAGCCAAAGAATGTTTCTCACCTTACACCTTTATATTTAATGTGGAGTCGGACACGAAGGTAATTTTGTTCACAGCTACTCGATTTTGCCAATTGCACAAACCTGGCACAGAAGTTTGGGTCAATGTTGTTGCATAAATCCAGTCATGAGGACTACGGTGGTCTTTGGGAGAGAAAAGGCAATGTTGCCGATGCAAAGTCATGAATTAGTGAGATCCTGTCTAATGTTCATACTGAAAAATAAGGCTTGTCCCAGAGAATAGCTGCTGCTATCCATCGTAACCCCTCCTGGTAGTTGCAGCCGCTATCTTTTACTCCTGGTAGGGACAGATTAATAGCAGGATGGATAAAGACCTTTCCCCTAAAGTACAATGCAATTAACTTAATGATATTATATGCCTTTGTTTTTCTACTTGCAATACTTATGGTATTTTAAATGTAAGCAATTTCTAATCGATTTGGGGGGGGGGGGCAGAGAGGTCTCAGGCATTTCAAGCCCTGAAGAATTTTTAATTTTTTCCATATGTTGTGTACTGGGTTCGTTGCAGGAAGGCTCAGTGACTCAGCACAGTGATCAGCTCAGTTTATCAGCACATGTACAAACAACAACAACTAGCCTGCGAGGTCCTGTATTTATTGGGTCCCCAACCTGGTGGGTTTGAATTTCCCCCTAGGGATCCTATTGGTGTTCCTAGGATCCTTGGTCCCTTTGTTCTTCAGGACCAAGCTTGGACTAAGGCGCTGGCTTCCTAGTGACTCTCTGTGGACACAACACCATATATTTGTTCCCGCAAGTTTTGCACATGCACCTAAATCCAAACAGTTCACTGAAATCTAAATGCACGGTGTTTTACTGCTGATAGGCTTGCAAGAGCAATTACACTGATAGTATAAGGCTCAAAATAGCACTGAATTCATTCATCCATTATTGGCAGCATTGAAGCCTTGTACATCTGTTACAGTGAATAGATGATGGAAGAGCCAGTATATACTGTGTACATATTTTTTTCTTTGTACATGCATCGAATCATTCTATAGTAACATTTAACAAGTGTGCGATTGAACATGCTGCTTAAACTTTGCATTTACCCAGGTAATGGTCCCTGGTTTTATTTGTAAAGAGAACGTGTCGGCTGTTTCTCCCAAACACATGTACACGCATTCAGTATAACGTGTATACAGGCCTGGAGAAACACTTTCTACATGTGCACGGTTGCCACCTTTTTTCCTGTCCCAGCTCCTGTGCCTTGCTGCCACTCCTCACACAAACATCAGCGTTTTCCAGGTGGAGCTGGTCTTCGCATGGAGATAGAAAATCTTTTCTTTCAGTGCAATCTTATGCAATCGCTCAAGGCTGGGCAGCAGTAATAATGTATTAGGCACACAATGGTCCGATCCGCATTGGTCTTTCCCGCCGCCGTGCCAACAATCTCACATCGTCTCACAAATTTCTGTCTGCATTTCATGCCGCATCCGCTCTCCTACCGTTTCATCCCAGCATCGACTGTCTGCATCATTTTATTGCCATTTAGTGGTGACTCCGAGGTCACTACGGGGTCCCACTGAGTTATTTGGATTTGGTTTTAAGGTGGTTTAATTGCTCCTCGTCGCCCTCAAGCCGCTGTGAGCAATAAGCACACAACTGGAGCCGAATTCTCCCCGCCCCTTTTCTAAGGACATACACAGATTGTCACAAAGGAAACCAGTTAGCTGAAAATCCAGTCATCTGCGTTTAAAAGCAGCCAGGGAACATTTTTCTGCAATCGTATTTTTTTTGGGGGGGGGGTGGAAGAACACCCACCCTTGAATCATTTGTTATTTCTTGGGGCGGTCCCCAGAATGCCCTGCCTGGAAACCGCTGGGTGTTTTGTGTTTTTTACCCAGCTTGTTCCGTCTTTCCTGCCCCCCCACCTCCCCCCCACCAGGTCACCCCCCTTTACTTTCTGGAACAGCAGCAGGTGCCGTTTCCTCCCCACAGCGCAGCGCAGTGCAGCGTCCTGCCAGCGCCCCCGGGAGGCCGCTCCTCCCTCCTCTCCCACGCACTCTCCCTCTGTCCTGATGCAGACGGTGAGCTTTTTATACAGAGCCGAATAGAAGGCAAAGAAAGCAGGTGCCACAGCAGAATGAAACAGCTTTTGGAAAAACAGGAAGGCACTTTAAAGGCCCAACAAACTGATTGTAGCGTTGCCTTTTGTGGGCTAAATCCCACTTTCCAAGTTGGTTTGGAGGAAGTGATCCTACTTAGTGCTACTTGTTGCATTTCCCTCTGCGTTGCTCCTTCTGGTGTGTTTTCTCCTGCAGTCTGGTGACCGGTCCTCTGAAGCCTGCCCGGATGAGAAAGCCCGGAAGTACATGTATACCTCAGCGACACAAAGGTCTGTGGGTAGCAAAGGTTTTAAAACTCCGTTTCCACAACCCGCCGGGTCTCCTTTGGATAGTCAGTTCCACTGGCAGGTGGCATCGTGCACAGTAGAGAGATCTGGAGACCAGGGTTCAAATCTCCAGTCTGCCATGGAAGCTCGCTGGGTGACCTTGGGCCAGTTACACACTCTCAGCCTAAACTGCCTCCAAGGGTTGTTGTGAGGATAAAACGGAAGAGAGGGAGAAGGATGTCGTTGGTTTTGAGTCCCCCTTGGGGAGTAAAGTGGGTTATAAATGAAGTCAATAAATAAATCCCAGTATGACTGAGGCTAAGCCTAAATGATGCAGCTCACCATTTTCCTAGTTACGAGGGGATGGCTAACACGAGTACTTGCTATGTACGTTGATTGTTGCTAGTATTAATCAGCACTGCAGGGTGTCAACTGTTGCCCACGTCCTCTTCCAGCGCCCTCTCTATTTGGCATCCCGTTGGGATCTTTTATACCCCATATTAGGCCATTTTTTAGAGACCCCTGATGATTTTAAGCTCCTTTTCTTGCTCGATAACTCAGATACAGAAATAACTGAAATAGCAGCAAAGTTTCTCTGCGGTGCCATGGCCCTACGGCCTGATAAATGATATGATGAATTAGGGGTTTTTTTATTATGATACTCTGTGATGTTATTCAGCAATTTTAATTTGACTCTGTATGATTCTGTACTTAGATTACTGTATCTTTATTTATATGCCCATAAAAGGCTTTGGATTGGACTGCAGGGTGTGAAGGTTTTTGGCTTTGTTTTTAACTTTCTCTAAGGATGTTCCCCAACTAGGCTTGCCATTCCCCTGGAGGGGGGCGGGGGTTTGCCCACTTTTAGGACCCCGCCGGCAGGGGGAACCCCGCCCCCAAAGTGCTGCATTCGGGCCAATGTCCCCGGCACGATGATGTCACCTGGAGATCACGTCATCAAGCAGAGCACGTTGCAGGAGGACACTCTATCATTCAAGGAAAAACAATAGAGGACCCGCCCACAACATGCCCTGTGCGATGACATCACTTCTGGGTGACATCATGTCCCAAAGAGGAAGAAGAACCCCCCCGCCGGCAGCCAGGTAAGACCTGACAACCCTGTCCTCACCCCTTCCCAGAACTCCAGAGACTTCTTCAGCCACGGCCAGATTTTTACAGGAAGTTGCATAAGGCTGTATCTTAGCAGGAAAACCATAGACACAGATGGGTAGATGGTCTGTATTTTCTCAGATGGCTTGATGGAAGATACCAAAAGCCTGGCTTCCCTGAGCACAATCTAAAATGCTGTGTAATTTATTGGACTGCTGTAGAAATAGGGTTGGATCCAACCATGTTTTCTGCTGGGAAGAAAGGAAGGAGGGGTCCTCTTTGGCCAACTAAAAAAAGGCTACACTGATAGGGTTGCTAGCGCCCAGGTGGGAGCAGGGAATCTCCCGATTTTGTGGGCTCCTGCTTGCCACCAGGTCAATCAGATAAGTCTTCATTGATAAGTCTTCATTGAAATATTTTGATTGGGACCTCGTTTGTACATGTATATTTACTGTATGTCAATGAAGACTGAACTGATTTACCTGATGAAGGAACAGGTCCGAAACGCTGACTATACGGAACTGCGTAGTTTCCACTTGGAACGGATCTTGTTTTTTACAAGCCACAATATACAGATGTTTGGACTTCAAGGACCTGTGAAATTTATATAAGCAATGCTTTTCTTTTGTGTGCTTGTTTTGTTAATGAAGGAAGTTGCTGCTTTAGAGACGTGCTGTGACCAGTGTTCCCTCTAAGCTGAATTAGTGTGAGCCAGCTCACAGGTTTTTAGCCTCCGGCTCAAACATTTTTGTCTTAAGCTCAGGAAGGAGGGCTCCAGAGCAAACTAATTTAAGCAGCAGCCAAATCACTTGCTCACAACTTGAATGCCAGTAACTCACAAAGTAGAATTTTTGCTCACAAGACTGCACACCTTAGAAGGAGCATTGGCTGTGACTTGTTGTGGGTTTGAGTTAGTTACCACCCGCTTTTTGATAATTGCTCTTTACAACATTTGTGATTCTACAATAATATATATGAGTTTATTAAACTTATTGGCTTTGGTTCCTGTATAGTTATTATTACATTCACTTAGCATGTTTTGACTATAGATTTGTCTGTGATTCTACTGGCCCCTGGTGTGATGACATCACACAGAAGTGATGTCATCACACCGGGGACATCGCACATGGTGATGTCGCCCTGCTCCCCGCTTTCGGGAAACTCCCCCCACTCTCTGCTGGTGAGGCGGTGAGACCTGGCAGCCCTATACGCTGAGAATCATGGGACCTACAGATGCAAAAAGCATGAGGGAGGGGGGCCGTAGGAGAGAGGAGAGTTAGGCAAGGTTCACTTTAAAAGCTGGCCAGATCTGGCCAAATTTCTCTGTGCCCCATCTATGTTCATCACCATTAAATCCAGGGCTATTTTTGGGCAGGAATGCACAGGAACGGCGTTCCGGCTGGCTCCTGAGTTGGCCACGCCCAGCAGGATCTCATTAGCATAATAGGCCACACCTAACAGCAGACACTCATTAGGATTGGCTACATTAGGGGTGTGTGGCCTAACATGCAAAGAAGTTCCTGCTACAAAAAAAAAAGCCCAGGGTTTTGACAACAAAGTAAACAGAATAAGAAGCAAAAGGTGGGTGTGGTTCTGGTAACATGTGGGGTGTGGCCTAGTATGCTAAGGAGTTGTGTTGTCAGGGGTGTGGCCTAATATGCTAATGTGTTTCTGCTGTTGGGTGTGGCCTATTATGCTAATGAGTTCCTGCTGGGCCTTTTTCTACAAAAAAAGCCCTGATTAAATCTCTTTCTCTCTTTTATTTTTTTAAATTAATGGAATAGCGGATATGAAGAAGTCCCCTGGGACAGGATGTTACTACCTAAACCCCCGCTAGATTCAACTATAGAAGCAATGACGGACTGTGTTTCCCAGCGCTGCACCCTGAAACGATACGAACGAGCGCCCGAAGCAAGCCAGGTCAGTGAACTTTGAGCTCAAACCTCTTTGTTTAATTTGTAATGCCACCACTGAATAGTAGAGGGCGGGCTTCGCCTCAGTCCTCAGCATCTGAGTTAAACATACCACAAGTCGCAGGCCTGAAAGTCCCGTTGCCAGTCTGGATAGACAACACAGGGGTAGATTGGGTTTACCCTTTGCCTGCCCACAGCAACCAAACTCCTGTCCCTGCCTACCATCTCCTGCTCCTGATCAATTGAGCAACAAAATAGGGGGGGGGGTGCAACATCACAGTATTCATGATGCTCTAAGCATTCCTGGACACTGGGGGGGCGCTACATCACTCTAAGGCTATATAGGTATTCTCTCCTTGAATGGGATTCCTCTCATTTGTCTTAACCGGGGAGCTTCCCTCTGGACTCCTCTCTGTCTTACTTTGTCTTCTCCCTCCTCTCACATTGCCTTCCATGGAGACACATGTCTTTGCAGGTCTCTCCTGTAGAGACAGTGCCCTCATCCTCTCACATGCATGATGTCGGACAAAGTGGCCATTTGTGATAGGGAAAGTACTCTGTAGATTAGGCTTCTCTCTCACCTTTGGACTGCAACCTGAATGTGAACTGGATCTACTTGAATAAATGTCGGTGTGCCTTTTTTGCAATATACTTCTTGGGAGATTTATTTACTGCACTCAGTATCATGCGTCTATGACCGGGCAAACTCTGCCATGTTAACCAAATATCCAAATAGGAATTGTCCCAGATCTCTGTGATCTTTACCATAGAGATGGGGGGGAGGAGATAGCTAGAGCATTGCAAGAGCTGTGACTTCATTTATGGGATGTCACAGCATGTGTAACAATTCAGCAGATAAGTTCAGTTCAACAATTCAGCAGGTAAATTCAGTAATTCAACAGGTAAGTTCAGTACAGGTAAGTTCAGTCACGAAGGCTTTGGATATTCAAAACTTCATTACCTGTACTGAACTTACGTGTTGAATTACTGAATTTAGCAGCTGAACTTATCTGCTGAATTGTTGCATTTGCCTTGTTTGCTTGTTATACCGTATTTACCTGACTATACTTACCTGTTGCATTGTGCTGAATGTGATACTTCCTGAATTTGTTACAATATATTTTGAATTGCAAATTTTGTTCTTTATTTAGCCTTCGCTACCTTAGCGTCCCTCCTACACAGTTCCTTTCTTGTAATTTGCCTTTACTGTGTGGTCGCTTGTGTTGTTTTATGTCACAGCATGGAGCTGCGGTGGCTCAAGTGGTTAAGATGCTGAACTGCAGGCTGTGGAAGGTCAGTAGTTCAGCAGTTCGAGACCCGAGCTACCGCATGATGGAGTGAGCTCCCATCTCTAGTTCCGGCTCCTGCCAACCTAGCAGTTCGAAAGCAAGAAATTGCAAGTTGATAAATAGGTACCGCTTTGGTGGGAAGGTAACAGCGTTCCGTGCGCCCTGGTGTTTAGTCATGCCGGCCACATGACCACGGAAACGTCTTCGGACAGCGCTGGCTCTTCGGCTTTGAAACGGAGATGAGCACCGCAACCCTAGAGTCGGATTCGACTGGCTTTCGAGCAAGGGAACCTTTACCTTTTTATCTACAGTGCTTCCTCCTCCTTGGGCCCTGTCCCAAAAAGCTCTCGGGATTGCCAGGCACAGAGATGGCAAACCTAGGTTAGGTAGATCAATGGCCTGATAAGGCAGTCATGTATGTCGCACAGTACAATAAGAATTCCTACTTATTGTTGTTTTATGTCCCACCCTTAATACCACACACTTCAATGACCCATCTGTTCCAGCTACTTATTAAAATGATACATGCTTAGCCAAGTAGGGTTGCCAGGTCCAGGTTGGGAAATACCTGGAGATTTGGGGGTGGAGCCTGAGGAGGATGGTGCTTAGGGAGGGGAGGGACTTCAGTGAGGTATAATGCCCTAGAGTCCACCTTCCAAAGTGGCCATTTTCTCCAGGTGAACTAATCTATCTTGCCTGGAGAACAATTGTAATAGCAGGAGATGTCCAGCCACCCCCTGGAGGTTGAAATCCAACAACATCCATGACCAAAATAACAAAGAGTCAATAAGGATATGTTGCAAAATCATTTACTGTAGTAATTCTGTAGAAAATAAGCTTCTCTTATCGCTCACACGCTAACGAATGCTGCGCAATGTAAACAATTTGCGTAGCAATCACAATTCTGATCCATTACTACTTATCAACTCTTGAAGGAATTGTTATTAGAGAGTCAACATGGAATGTTTCCTTCAAGGGTTGATGAGTAGTAATCAATAAGAATTGTGACTGCTACATGCTCAGATAAAGCAAATATTGTGAAACAAATTGTTTACATTGCGCAGCATTCTTTAGCGTGTGAGCAATAAGAGGATTTTCTACAGAACTAGTGCAGTAAATGATTTTGCAACATATCTTTATTGACTCTTCATAATTTTGTGTCACGGATGTTGTTGTTGGATTTCTACTTCCTCCCATGAGCTCTCATTTTTGGCTTCTCTCACCTGGAGGTTGGCAACCCTATAGCCCAGAGGAAAAAAAGTTGTATGAGCCCCATATAAAGTTGCTAATCCTGTGTAGCATTCCACTGTCGTGCTCTTGATGATTAGCATAAAAGGGAAGGTATCGTGGCGGCACTTTGGCGAGAGGAGCCGCATCTCCTGAATTTTTCCCACCTGCGCAGCTAGTGGGCCACCTTGTCCCATGAGAAATGAGGTAATCGTAGTTCTAGAACAAGGTCCCTCCCCCCATTCCTTCTCTCTTCGCCCTGCTCAGTCCCTCACAAAAGGATCTGAAAAAGCACAGGTGAAGTTAGGATAGCTGTCACCCTCTCCCCTCTGTCAGGACCCACAGCAAAACAACGAAGTGCACGCTTCCGGGAAGGTTTTACTTTTATTGAAAAGCCATAGATGCAGTAACATGAACACTGTTAGGAATGGCGAGTGATCTATGCGCATAATAGGATATAGGGCATTCGTATGCGCCCCCCCTAGCAATACCCAATTAGGTGGACTCCCGCACGTGGGAGATGGCAAGAGCCTCTAACGATAGCGAAGCTGGGAAAGCAGAAGCTCCCACAGAAGGTAGACACCACAATCTCCTCCAGTAACTCTTTACAGATAAGCGTTGCAGCTGTGAAGCAATTAAGCACATGGGAAGGAATGCAAAGCAATTAGAAAGCCTCTCCCAACTCATGGCAGCTTAGCTGACACCCTCTTCATCAGATGTACCCGTGTTGACTTGTTGCTTCACAGAATAAGCCTGACATGATAATTTGACTCTTCCGTTAGGCTCAAGAAACCTCCTGGTTTTCCACCGAGGATTATGGTTGCCAGCCTCCAGATGGGGTCTGGAGATCTCCTGGAATTACAGCTGATCTCCAGAGTATTGAGATCAGTTCCCATGGAGAAAATGACTGCGTTGGAGGGTGGACTCTATGGTATTATACCCCGCTGAGGTCCCTCCCCTCCCCAAACGCTTAAGAATGTAAGCACATAAGAGAAGCCATGTTGGATCAAGCCAGTGCCCCAACCAGTCCAACAGAGCATCACTGCTCCAAACATAAGAGAAGCAATGTTGGATCGAGCCAGTGGCCCAACCAGTCCAACAGAGCATCACTGCTCCAGACATAAGAGAAGCCATGTTGGATCGAGCCAGTGGCCCAACCAGTCCAACAGAGCATCACTGCTCCAGACATAAGAGAAGCCATGTTGGATCAGGCCAATGGCCCATCTAGTCTACGGATCAAGCCAGTGGCCCAACCAGTCCAACAGAGCATCACTGCTCCAGACATAAGAGAAGCCATTTTGGATCAAGCCAGTGGCCCAACCAGTCCAACAGAGCATCACTGCTCCAGACATAAGAGAAGCCATTTTGGATCAAGCCAGTGGCCCAACCAGTCCAACAGAGCATCACTGCTCCAGACATAAGAGAAGCCATTTTGGATCAAGCCAGTGGCCCAACCAGTCCAACAGAGCATCACTGCTCCAGACATAAGAGAAGCCATTTTGGATCAAGCCAGTGGCCCAACCAGTCCAACAGAGCATCACTGCTCCAGACATAAGAGAAGCCATTTTGGATCAAGCCAGTGGCCCAACCAGTCCAACAGAGCATCACTGCTCCAGACATAAGAGAAGCCATTTTGGATCAAGCCAGTGGCCCAACCAGTCCAACAGAGCATCACTGCTCCAGACATAAGAGAAGCCATTTTGGATCAAGCCAGTGGCCCAACCAGTCCAACAGAGCATCACTGCTCCAGACATAAGAGAAGCCATGTTGGATCAAGCCAGTGGCCCAACCAGTCCAACAGAGCATCACTGCTCCAGACATAAGAGAAGCCATGTTGGATCGAGCCAGTGGCCCAACCAGTCCAACAGAGCATCACTGCTCCAGACATAAGAGAAGCCATGTTGGATCAGGCCAATGGCCCATCTAGTCTACTGTGTCACACAGTGGCCAAAACTCAGGCGCCATCAGGAGGTCCACCAGCAGGGCCCAGGACTCCACAAGCCCTCCCTCTGTTGCCCCCCCCAGCCCCAAAAATACAAAGCATCCTTCCAGTCCTCAGGCTTTACCCCCACATCTCCAGGAATGTCCCTACCTGGACTTGGCAACCCTACCTAGGACTGCATTTCATGATCGACTGCAAAGTGCTTTTGTGTACTGAAAAGTATTAAGGAATCAGTTAACCGCAGCAGCAATAATTATAGCGATAGCCTCGCACCCAACCGATTGCCTGTAAAAAGCTTTATCATCCCTATTCTAGGTTGTCGGAGGGCTCTGGGACAGATTTCAAACAAGATCCTTCACTGTACCACCCACGCCAATTAATTTGTGAGTCTAACTCATTGCTATATTTTGTTATTTTAGAACAAAACAAAACACAACACTCTGGTTTCTTTTTAAAGGTTCACATAACAAGATTCCCCCCCCCTATGTATTTTCAATACATTTTGTTTGACAAACAAAAAGTATTCCCTAAAAGATAAAGGATGAGATGGTTAGACAGTGTCATAGATGCAACGAACATGAAGTTGAGCAAACTTCAGAGGACGGCAGAAGAGCGGAAGGCCTGGCGTGATCTGGTCCATGGGGTCGCGAAGAGTTGCACCCGACTGTGCAACTGAACAACAACAAAAAGATACCATTTGGTTGTAGTCACATCATGCACCAGAAAAAAACAGGGGGAGGGGGGAGTGAGGCTATTTCCTCCGGAGGAATTTGACCCGCAGTTGCGTGATCACACAGTCCTTGGAAGCTGCGAGCACAGCCCACCACTGCGCGATCAGACACAACTGAATCGGTTTTGGGCGGTTTTGCCGTTTGTTTCTGATGTGCTTAAACGAGGAATCAGTGAATCACACCTCCGCACTGAGGGCTCCCTATGACATTTGCGATGATACTGCATACTGAGAGGGGGGGGGAACAACGGCACGGAGTCAGAATGGCCTGATCAGACCATGCCGATGCCATGAGAGCGCACTGGAGCAATCAGACAGGGGAAAGTCCGTCCATGGCCCATCGCGACTCGTTTTCTACCGGATCTTCCCCGGTGTCCTCTAACTCCCCTTCTGCGGCGGAGCAAAACGGGTTGCCAGCGGCTGCAGGGCGCTTCCCAGATGTCGTTGTCTGATGGCACCCTTTAAATCCGCCCGGCATTCGTGCCTACGGTGGGTCTAATTGTGCGTGTGATCGCATCCTTGGGGACATCTGGATTTCAAAACACACCGCCTGAGCCAATGCTAAAGTTCAGTTGCAGGCACAATGCCTGATTGTGCACAGCGGGCTCTGTTTCCAAGAGTCTCCAAGTCTGGTGGGGTGGAAGCGATTTACTGTCTGAGTCAACAGAACCCGGTACTCTCCCATTTATTTCGCTTGGGTTCAGTCTGGCTCTTAAGCAACCACAGGAGGTTCGATGGCAGGGGCAGACAATGTAATAGGATGCGGGACTGGAACCTGTTTCCATCAGAAGCGGTGTCGCGAACTCTTTGTTCAAGAAGGAGACGGTGCTGGGTGCTACCAAGGGTCATCCACCGGGGCTCTCCAGCCAGCTTCTCCCTTGTCATAGCCCTGGGCTGTATTGGAAGGGACCTGTGGTCCTGCAGGAGCACTGGAAGAGCAGAGAGGAGGAAGGGAAGCCCATACTAGATGCACTTAAGTAGCCGTTCAGTGGGCCGTTATGATGCCCAGGTATTACTTGTGAGATGCTCCATTTGCACTGGTGACTGATCACGACTCTGCAGCCGCTTGAACCCAATAAAGGATTCTAATGCCTGTCTGATACGGCTGCGTCCGGCTCTCCAGCATTTTGCTTTCGAGTATTGCCCGGGTTAGGGTGACCAGGTTTCCCGCTTTGGCAGGCAGCCTCCCGCCCTCTGCCTTGGTCCCTGCTACTGCTCGATACCATCACGGTTTCTTGTTTTGCTTTGCTGTTTTCACTCCCGTGATTCTGTCGATATCGCTCGATAAGGCAGCAGGGGGGAAATGGGGGGTGGCGGCATCCCGCAGTGCTGTGATGTCACTTCCAACTGTGTAACCAGAAATTATGCCACCGTGTTGCAGGACACTCTGGGATTCCCCCCGAAACTCTATGGCTTTTACCATTGAGTTTTGGGGAAATCCTAGAGTATCCTGCACTGTGGTGATGCCCTTCCTGTTACACAGCCGGAAAGGATGCTGCAGGATGCAATTTTAGTAACTCTCCACCACCACCACCACCACACCACCCAGTCTCCCAAAGGTTATCATCTCCCCAGTGTCCCCCCTATTCCACCCCTTCTTCTTCCCAAGCTAGGGCACCTATCAGTACAACAGACCCCCTCCCAAGAGGGGCACCCTATGTCCCTCTCTGTGCAGGGCTTCTTTGGCTTGCCAGGACAAGAAGTCTGCATTCAAATGCCATGACCCTTGCTTAGGGTCACCTGCCTGCCTGCCTTGGGGTCTCTGCAGTCTGGGAAGACCCCGGCCTCACCTGGACCAGGAAGGCGATGTTTCTGGACAAGGGTCTAGCTTCCCTGTGGCGTTACCCTGCAGGAAGTGTACTGTAGGTGAGCTCAGCAAATTCAAGTGAGACCGCCATACCAGATCCATAGCAGACCTCTGACTTATGTCCCGCTCCACCATTTGGGATTCTTTCCATTCTACATAAGAACATAAGAGAAGCCAATGTTGGATCAGGGCAATGGCCCATCTAGTCCAACACTCTGTCACACAGTGGCCAAAAATACCAGGTGCCATCAGGAGGTCCATCAGTGGGGCCAGGACACTAGAAGCCCTCCCACTTTTGCCACACACCCCCAAGCACCAAGAATACAGTGCATCACTGACCCCAGACCAAGAGTTCCTATCTATACCTTGTGCTCCATATGTTTATCCAATTCCCTCTTGAAGCCGTCCATGCTTGTAGCTACCACCACCTCCTGTGGCAGTGAATTCCATGTGTTAATCACTCTTTGGGTGAAGAAGGACTTCCTTTTATCTGTTCTAACCCGACTGCTCAGAGTGCCCACAAGTTCTTGTATTGTGAGAAAGGGAGAAAAGTACTTCTTTCTCGACCTACTCTATCCCATGCATAATCCTGTAAACCTTGCATCATGTCACCCCTCAGCTGTCGTTTTCTCCAAGCTAAAGAGCCCCCAGCGTTTTAACCTGTCTTCATAGGGAAAGTGCTCCAACCCTTTTATCATCCTAGTTGCCCTTTTCTGCACTTCTCCCAATGCTTTAATATCCTTTTCGAGGTGTGGTGACCAGAACTGTACACAGTACTCCAAATGAGGTCGCGCCATTGATTTATACAGGGGCATTCTCCCTGTTCCGGGATTAAAGTGTGCACTTCGTACCAGCCCGCCATTTTATATTTGCACAGAATGGTCCCCTCTAATCTAATGTGTGCTTCCTCTCTTAACAGTGTCAGCCCGAGTTCTCGAACAGAGCAGATCCCTTTTTATACGTAAGTAAAAGGTCGTTATGTATCTCCTAATTGGGAACCATCCGGAAAAGGGTATCAGAGGGCTGAAAAGCCCCCCCCCCCCCCGAGGCGAAAGGGTCTGCAGATTTGGAGCTTTGAAGACAAGACTACGAAGGTGGGGGAGGGGTACACGGTAGAGGTTTTTTTAAAAAAAAGTCATGACTGGTGTAGGAAGAGTGGATGGAGAGTCGTTACTTGAACTCCAACGAAACGGATGGACAATCAGATGGTCAAAAGACCAGCTTCTCCAGAAAATAGGGAATGTTGGCCGTTAGAGGAGATGGATTCAGGTGGGGTAGCCATGTTGGTCTGAAGCAGTAGAACAAAGTTTGAGTCCAGTGGCACCTTTAAGACACACAAAGTTTTGTCCTGGATATAAGCTTCTTCGAAGTGTGCATGCACACTTAATCAGATCTGAAGAAGTGTGACTGCACACGAGAGCTGACCAATGTTGGATCAGGCCAATGGCCCATCCAGTCCAACACTCTGTCACACGGTGGCCAAAAATACCAGGTGCCATCAGGAGGTCCACCAGTGGGGCCAGGACACTAGAAGCCCTCCCACTGTTGACCCCCCCCAGCACCAAGAATACAGAGCATCCCTTGCCCCAGACTGAGAGTCCCTATCTATACCTTGTGGCTAATAGCCACTGATGGACCTCTGCTCCATATGCTTATCTAATTCCCTCTTGAAGCCGCCCATGCTTGCAGCCACCACCACCTCCTGTGGCAGTGGATTCCATGTGTTAATCACTCTTTGGGTGAAGAAGGACTTCCTTTTATCTGTTTTATAACCCGACTGCTCAGCAATTTAATGGAGTGCCCACGAGTTCTCGTCTTGTGCAGCGAATTCCACGTTTTGCATCACTCTCTGTGTAAAGTAGTGTTTCCTTTTGTCCATCTTGAACCTACTGCCCATCAACTTCAATGGATGCCCTCGAGTTCTAGTATTTTGGGAGTGGGCGAAAAATTTTCCCTGTGCCAGCTCTCTCCACCCCACGGATAATTTTATAAACCTCTATCACGTCCCTCCTTAGTCGCCTCTTTCCTCAACTGAAAAGTCCCGGACTCTTCAGCCTTTCCTCCTAGGGAAGGGTGCTCCAACCCCCTAATCATCTTGGTTGTCCCTCCTATGTACTTTCCCCGGCTCTGCCATGTCCCTTTTGGAAATACGGGGACCAGAGCTGTACATAGTATTCCAAAGGAGGCTGCAGCATGGATCTGTATAGGGGCATCCCAATGTCGGCTGTGTTATCCTCAGTCCCTTTCCTAACCGTCCCTAACATATGCCGTGCAGTGTTTCCGGCTCTGTTCCTCCGCGAGGGCTGCCTGGCTCCCTGTTCATTTCGGGACACGTTGCGCACTCCGTCTCCGTGTACCTTCTCGTGCCCCTTTTTAATAAATAACGCAAAGTCTGGAGCTGCCTTCAGCAGCCTCGGCCAGCTGCGCGATCAATAATGCATCCCTGCCATGTGTCCCCCCCCCTCCCCTTCCACGCAGAGGCCACATCGGTGCCGAGAATTTTGAGGACGTCGACGACGCTGACGCTGACTTGATCATCCGTGGCCGAGTGAGGATCGCAAAGCCTCGCTACGTGAAATCGTCTTAGTAAGTAGACCTCTTTGTCGTCGCTGAGTTCATCGCTGGTGCTGGAGTTCTCCCCATTGAGAATACAGGGGTCTCCATGACGTATCACCAGGTGGTATACCCGTGAGAGAGACGTCCAGTGTGGTGTGGTGGTTCTCAGAGGTCCCTTCCGCATTTGCCAGCCACTCTGGATTTTCTCCGTGTACGAATCGAGGCCATTTAGGTCCACGGGCAAAACAGCATCCAAATAACCCGGGGCAACAGCAGGCTGGAACCGGGCTGACCACCGAAGGGAGGGTAACGTAATGCAGAATGGGGGGAAAACCACGGAATGAGAAGAAGGTTGAACTTGATTTTAGTGCAGAATTTTTTTGGGGGGGGGGACCCTGGATTAAAAAGAAGGTTGAATGAGATTTTAGTGCAGAATTGCTTTGAGGACACTGCGGCGAACATGGATTAGAAGTAGAGTTCAGAAACGGCCAGAGGCCACATTCCTTCTCAGGTTTGCCGGGGCAGATTTTTAAATATTCCATCTTTCGACCGTCTTTGTCCTTGCCCTTGAGTTCGAATTAGCACCTCCTTTCATATCCTTTTCGAGTGCCCCATCTTGGAGGATCCTAAGGCATCTTTTGTGACTCCTCTTCCAGCTTGCCATCCTGAACTTTCAGCCTCAGATGCTTTGTGTTTTTAAATGTGGTGATGAGGATCCTAAGATACACTTTAAGGTAAAGGTTCCCTTCCTTGAAAGCCAGTTGAATCCGACTCTAGGGTTGCGGTGTTCATCTCCGTTTCAAAGCCGAAGAGCCAGCACTGTCCGAAGACGTTTCCGTGGTCATGTGGCCGGCATGACTAAACACCAAGGCGCCAAACACCAAAATAGCCAAATGTTATAAAACAAGAAACTGTTGGAAATGTAAAAACAACATAGGAACATTCTTCCACATGTGGTGGAGGTGTGCAAAAATACACAAGTTTTGGCAAAATGTTAAAAAATTAATTACAGAAATAATGAACATCGATCTAAATCTACTACCAGAAATCTTTTTGTTAAATATAATCCTGAATGATTTGGAGCAAAATGATATTTATTTAGTGACGTATATTCTTACTTCAGCCAGAATATTAGTAGCAAAATACTGGAAATTAGAAAAACTACCTCTAAGGGAAGAAATAATGAAGAAGCTGTTAGATGTAGCAGAAATGGATAAGCTTAATACATTACTACAAGGAAAGGATGAAAAGATTTTCCAAAAAAGATGGTTGAAAGTGTATAAATGGTTAGAAGAAAAATGTAACTAATGGACTCTAGAATTTGATATGATGTAAGTTGTTTGTGCTATTGGAGTATATATCGTCGAAACAATAAAAAATAAATTTTAAAAAGTTAAAATACATTAAAAACATAAATTAAACGTCATGAATGATCATATGCAGTTAACATAATCATAAAGTGCTAGTAGGGAGTATTTGAAGGCGGTACGATATCACATTGAAATCCCAGTCGGCCACGGTGGAATGGTCACAAAAGTTGGTAAAGTCCTGAGCTTCTCAGAGCAGTGGCGAGATCAAAATGTCGTCCGTAGACACGCGGGACCAAATCTTCTTCCGAGAAAGAGAGGGAATCCCCACGCAGCTGTTAACTCCCTGGGTAGCCTAGGAGAAGTTCAGATTCTGCTAGTTTTGTTTCCTTGGAAGTTGATTGAGGGACACTGAATTGTGCGCTTTAATCGTAGTGGGACTGAGAGCCGGACCTCTACAGTCTGGGCAAGGGAGACTTCCGTTCGGATCCCCCCTGATGTACGAAACACCTTGCCCATAGAAAACAAGCATGTCACTGACAAAGCCGGAGTGCTTCACAATCACATGCTCATTTTCTGTGCACAGGTGTTTGATACGGGGGGATCCTTCAAATGCGCAGGGCTTTCCCCAGCCTCATGTACACACACACACACACGCACGGAGCTGCCTTATACCGAATCAGACCCCTGGTCCATCAGAGTCAGTAATGTCTACTCAGACTCAGCAGGGGATCTCCAGGGTCCCCAGTTTGGTGTAGTGGTTAAGCGTGCGGTCTCTAATCTGGGAGAACCGGGTTTGATTCCCCACTCCTCCACTTGCACCTGGCTGGATGACCTTGGGCAAGCCGTAGTTCTGTCAGAGCTGTCCTTGAAAAAGAGCAGTTTCTGTCAAGAGCTCTCTCAGCCCCACCTACCTCACAGGGTGTCTGTTGTGGGGAGGGGGAGGGAAAGGAGTTTGTAAAGTGCTCTGAGACACCTTTGGGTAGTGAAGGGCGGGGTATAAATCCAATCTCTCCTCTCTCTCTCCTCTCTCCTCCGGAAAAAGGTCTTTCGTGTAACCGACTACTTGGTCCTTTTCAACTGGAGAGGACGGGGATTGAACCTGGGGCCTTCTGCATGCCAAGCTGATGCTCTGCCGCCGAGCCACGGCCCTTCCTCTTTCAGCAGTTTGGAAGGGTTCTATCCTGCAATAGTTTCCATGGTGGGATTTGCCAGAAGACTGTACACTTCAGCTTTTAGGTGCCCTTAACCTTTTGCTGGGTAGAACTCCCATTCCTCAGCCTTTCAGACCGCTCCAGCGCAAACCTCTTTTCTGAGAGTATGTGTCAACACATAAAGTTGCCTCATACGGAATCAGACCATTGGTCCATCAGTTTCGTGTAGTGGTTAGGGTTCCCCACGCCTCCACATGCAGCTGCTGGGGTGACCTTGGGTCAGTTTCAAGTTCTCTCAGGACTGTTCTCTCACGAGCCGTTCTCAGCCCCACCGACCTCACAGGGTGCCTGTTGTGGGGAGGGGAAGGGAAAGGAGATTGTAAGCCGCTCTGAGACTCCTTTGGGTAGTGAAGGGCGGGGTATAAATCCAATCTCTTCTTCTTCTTCTTTTACCTCACAAGGTGTCTGTTGTGGGGAGGAGAAGGGAAAGGAGATTGTAAGCCGCTCTGAGACTCCTTTGGGTAGTGAAGGGCGGGGTATAAATCCAATCTCTTCTTCTTTTACCTCACAGGGTGTCTGTTGTGGGGAGGGGAAGGGAAAGGAGATTGTAAGCCGCTCTGAGACTCCTTTGGGTAGTGAAGGGCGGGGTATAAATCCAACCCCTTCTTCTTCATCATCAACATAAGTATTGTCTACTCTGACTGGCAGTGTCTGTTCAGGGTCTCAGGCTGAGGTCTTTCAGATCATCGGATACCTGGTCCTTTTTAGCTGGAGATGCTGGGGATTGAACCTGGGGCCTTCTTCATGCCAAGCAGGTGCTCTTCCGCTGAGCCTCAAAGGAGTACGCTCCACTGAATAGACCTACATAGGATTCTGAATAGGCCTGCTTAAGATCGCACTGCTAGAGACCTATATCACAAGTTTATTGTGGAGGAGGAGGAGATTGGATTTATACCCTGCCCTTCACTACCTGAAGGAGTCTCAGAGCGTTTTACAATCTCCTTTCCCTTCCCCTCCCCACCACAGACACCCTGTGAGGTAGGTGGGGCTGAGAGAGCTCTTTCGAGAACTGCTCGTGAGACAATAGCTCTGAGAGAACTTTTGACTAACCCAAGGTCACACCAGCAGCTGCAAGTGGAGGAGTGGGGATTCACACCCAGTTCCCCCAGATTAGAGTCTGCGCTCCTAACCAGTACACCAAACTGGCTTCTGAGGGCTGTGCAGTTTTCCATTTGCTAAATATGCAAAATATTCATTGTACTCTCATAACGCCGCTGGAGCGATTGCAGCTTGGTACCCATTTAAATAGATGGAAGGGTTTCACCGGTGAGGATGGGAAGTGCCTTCAAGTCGCAGCCGATTTATGGCGAGCCTGTAGGGTTTTCAAGGCCAGAGACGTTCAGAGGTGGTTTGCCATTGCCTGCCTCTGTGGAGTGAGCCTGGACTTCGTCGAGCCTGGAGATCGGGCTCGCCTGGGCCATCCGAGTCAGGGCAAGGATTCCATTTTACTGATTTCTTTGGATGTTTGGACTGGGGTTTCCCAAACACACTGTCCCCACCCCTGTGGATCTTGGAAGCATCCTTGCAGTTCCAGCTGGCACATTTTTCTTGTTGAGTTCGTTAGAAGAAGCACGGCCCACTCTCAATCAAATGGCTTTCTGCGTGAGTCAGTGTTCGGGGCCTAACATTTTGGTGTCGTGGTTAAGAGTGGCGGACTCTAATCTGGAGAAGCGGGTTTGATTCCCCACTCCTCCACATGCAGCCAGCTGGATGACCTTGGGTCAGTCACAAGTTGTCTCACAGCTGTTCTCTCAAGGGCAGTTCTCTCAAGGGCAGTTCTCTCAGAGCTCTCTCAGCCCCACCTACCTCACAGGGTGTCTGTTGTGGGGAGAGGAAGGGAAGGTGATTGTAAGCCATTCCAAGACTTCTTCGGGTAGTGAAGGGCGGGATATAAAATCAACTACTACTACTACTACTACTACTACTACTCTTCCTCCTCCTCCTCCTCCTCCTCCTCTTCTTCTTCTTCTTCTTCTTCTTCTTCTTCTTCTTCTTCTTCTTCTTCTTCTTCTTCTTCTTCTTCTTCTTCTTCTTCTTCTTCTTCTTCTTCCTGATTGTCAGGAGAAGAATCCAGAGGGAGGTCTCATCATGCAGAGATGCAGCAGCCAGCCTCTTATGCCCATGGATACTCTGAAATCTCAATATCCCCAGTCTATTTTATTTTTTTAATAAAACTTATTTATTAGATTTTTTTTTTAGTCACCGCTCGCACAAAGGGTATTGTGGTGACTTACAACATTAAAACCAATATGGTAAAAACAACATAAAAACAAAGACTTAGATGTGCTTTTAAGGCACACAGTTCAGGAATTCCTCTGTTAGACCACCTCCTTTTTTCAACTGAAAGTTTAAGAGTGCCTGTCCAGTCAACTACACAGTTGGCAGGCATATATTTCAGAAAGAAAGATCTATCAGTGTCTGAAGAGATAGCAAGTTGACAACACAGAAAGACTTGGAATTGGGTTTTCTAAAATGTTCCCCCCCCCCCTCAAGCGATACACCTGTACAT